CCTGCGAACGGTGGCCTGGTGCAGCAGGGTGTTAATGTCCGCCTCGCTGGTCTTGCCCGTCTTGTTGGTTTTCAGGAGCACTCTCACGACGTCGCCCAAGGCTTCTCCCGAGCGCGGGAACTGGGCCTTTGCCGGCCTTTCGTCGCCCGCTGCCGCCGCTGCCGCTGCTGCTGTTGCTTCCGCCTCGTTCGTTTGAAGGTTGCGCAGCACGTCTTCCCACGGCAACGGAAAAGTGAGAGCGTTGCCTCGCGCTCCAAGGCGGTGGCGGGGGAGCTGAGCTTTCTCGTCCAGCGTGGTGCCCTCGCTGCGGAATCGCGCCTCCATGGACAGGCATATCAGGGTGGTCACGCAGGGGCTCGCGCAGATCATTTCCATGATCGTGATCTTCTCCTCGTGCAAGCGTTTCGGTGCGTAGCCGGTCCACATGTCATTGCACAGGCTCAGCGGTGGAAGCTTTCCTTTCTGCAGGTGTTCTAGGCAGTCCGTGCAGATTGGCAGCTCGCACTTTTCGCACAGGGTGTGTTGGCCGGGATGCTGCTCGGGACAGGCTGGGCAGCGGTGGTCTTCCGGACAGCAGAGGATGCGCCCGAGTCCCGGGATCGCGAGGGTCCAGTCCTCGAAGTCCTCCAAATCGCTCAACTTGACGTCGCCGGCCAAGGCGTCGTAGTGCTTCAGGTACGTCTCGAAGCTCAAGAGCTCATGCAGCTTCTTGGTGCTTTGCGAAGGGCTTTGGTCGTTGTTCGGTTTGGCGATGGGTTTGTGCCACTGGATCCGGGAGTTCTTCCCCATGTCGGCCACGCACGGGTGGATGCACCCGCAGCTGAAGCACACCAGGGACTCCACGTTGTCTTTGCTGGTGGCCTCGGCGAAGCTTCTGAGAGCGCTTCTGTCCCGCGAGCTTCCTGCAACGGGGGCGTCTTCTCGGCATCGAAGTGCCACGGCCTCGTTGTAGACGCTGGTCAGGGCGTCTGGCGGGATGGGCTTGGGCATGTGCTGCGCTGCCCACGTGAGTGCGGCTCCGTGGACTTCTTTGACGTGTGCCTCAAGGTCTTTCTCCGTCCCGGTAGGCGACGACCATGTGCATTCCTGGAACGCGCAAAAGACACGCGGCCAGTTCTCTCCTGAGTCCACGTTCTCAGCTCGGGCTTCGGGCGGAATCAACGGCTGGGCTCGTATGTGGGTGTTTGCCAAGTGCTTCAGCGCGTCCTCAAATTTCCTTCTTGGGTGCGTGGAGTCCGGTGCCACAAGCATCTTGCTCAGCTCTTCCAGGAGGTTCAGGTTCTCCTCGAGTGGGAAGGGTTCTTCCCCTCGCTGCGCTCCGGAACGTTCCGGAACCTCTGGGCGTTGGGGCTCGCGAGGCTGCTCGCGCTCCTGGCTGCGAACTGCCGTTCTGCTGCGCTTGGGTGGGCGGGGCTGCGGGTGGGGTGCCGGTGGTGGCGGCGGTGGGTTCGCGGGATCTTCCGCACCTGGCGCTCGCGGCCCTGGGTGGCTGGGAACGAGCAGGTCGTAGTGGTCGCGGCCGTTGTACCACAGGTGAAGGACGTCCGGTCCTGGGAGTTCTGGTGGCACCTGTTCGTGCGTGCGGTCGAAGGACTGGATGGTGCCGTCCTCGCCGCGCCAGTGCAGCGTGACCCTTTGCTGTCTCATCAGGCTGAAGGCCACAATGGCCGTGTCCCCTCCCCAGTTGTACGGGTCGCTCCGAAGGTAGTCGGCCTCCCGAAGCCAGGAGTCCGCTTGCTCTTCGTGCTCTTGGTGCACCGCGTTCTGCTCCAGGAAGCGTATGATTTGTTCTCGCAGATCAACTCCACGTTCCTGGTTCTTGTCTGCGAGCGCGTGAAAGAGGCAGTTCCCGTCGCCCCTCATCTTCTTCAGCGTCAGGGTGCCCTGGAAGTGCTCCTGTCGCGGGTTGCTGGGGTCACCGTGTCGGGAAGATTAAGTATTGTATCTTTACGTGTGCTCAAACATCAAGTGCTTGGCTTTGAGGCATGCCGCCATATATGTAGTCAAACGAGTCTGGCTACGCGAAGAATAGAAACCTGTCTAGCGAGCAAGCCGAAAGCGAGCCTGCCTCGATGCTGGGCCCGCTTTCTTCCGGGGTGTCCGAATTGGCGCCGCCCCGTCGTGGTGCAGCACCGCGATGCCCGCCAGGAGGAGGAGGAGGTCCCACCGCAGTGTTTGCATCGGGTTGCTGCGACGAAGCTTTGGCGTTGGCCCTGTCCGCCTGCAGTCGCATTGATCGAGGAGCTGCACGGCTGAGTTACCGGTTGCGTGCCGCGCCTCTGCCACTTGGAAAGCATCTTCGAGCGCGGCATCGTCCTCGGCCGTCCACTTTCGTGGCTTCGGCGGTGTCGGCACGGGAGCCTGCAGACTGATTGCAAAGTCTCTGAGTCTCTCCCACATTCTTTTCAAACCTCGAAGCAGCGCCTTTTTGCGACGCTGCGCCCGCTGCTGTCCACTTGGGCGACTGGCAGACCTTGGTCTCCGGGATGTGGTCGGATGCGTCTTCCAGGCCTCGGTGCGGCACATGTTTGTCTGCGGTGAACGGCGTAAGGTGATACCACAAGCAACCGTAGGCATCCAAAGTTTGGTCTGGGGCCTCGTCGATTTTGACCATTCCGGCCTTGTAGCGATTCGTGTCGAGGCAATGCGATTCGTGGGCCGTTCTGTTCGAATGAAGCTCTGGGGCGGGGACGGGCGTTTTCAGCATCAGGGCGCACTGCGTTGCCAGGTAATGCTTCTTGAACTCCTCGAAGTCGAAGCACCATCCGGTCCCCTGTGTGGCAAGATGGGGCGGTCCGTCTGTCTTCGTCACTGCCTCTGTTCCTCTCGCTGTCTCTCTCTCTCTCTCTCTCGCTTCCTCTTTCCCTGGTGCTCTTGTTCCCTGGCTTCCTGGTTGGAACGAGTTCGACAAAGACTGAGCGCGAGAGAGTCTGTACGACTGCTAGCTTCCTGTATGCCGCCTGTTCCTCGTCCTGGTCCTTCAGATCGGCCCATCGCCGGCGGTTGTTCGGGTACATTGCCATTTGACCTGCAGGGCCGGCGCAGAGACTGTCTCTACCGCTCCTTCCCTTTACTGTCGGAAACGGCTTCCTGCCTGGATATCGTCGCTTGAGGCTATGGAGCGTTTTGCTTTTGTATGCTTTTGAGCACGAATTGGGCTGCGGTGCAACACTAGTGCTACTGTGCTCTCACTGAAAAAGCACGATGGCAGCTACGTTTGCTTGCAGTTGGTTCCGGGCAGTTTTTCCCGCTCGCTCCTTGCTGTCCCGTCCTCATCACTATATCACCTATCTAGATTCTAGATGGGCCGGGGCTGTCTCGAACAAGGCAGCGGTCTTCTTGTCCAGGCCGTCCATGCGATTCATGCCAGCCAAGATCCGATGCCATCCCATACTTTCCCCAGGTGGCTTGCGAATCCGTAGACGGGCAGGGGCTTGTTGATGCCGTGAAGGACGGAGTCACCGCACATGGCATAGTGCAGGGCATAGTAATGGAACTGCATGCACTCGCGACCTCCTTGTTCGTAGAGCTCCCTGCCCGCGCGGCGCTGGTCCAGAAAAGCTCCTGGGCATCTCCGGCCCGCGGATTCCCACAAGACACGGAAGGAAGGGTAGTCGAACCAGCCCAGCTTCTTGGGTGTCCAGCCCATGTGCCTCATGAGCTGCGAGAAAGTTTGGGAACCTTCATCCGGCGGGCCTTCCTGATGTGCCGCGTTGCGAAGCCAAGCCTTCATGGTATTCTCCGAAGGGCAGGGGTTGCGTTGCACGAAGGCGGCCAGTTCCTCCTCTTCCCGAAGGACTTGGGCACGAAGCTCTTCGTTGCACGGGAGAGGCCGGTCCTGCTGCACGAAACTGCTTGGCCGTATCGGTCGCCGTGGGGAGGTTGGCGGAGTGGGCGGCGAGAAGCTCTCTTCGTCGCTGCTGCTGTCGAGGTGGTCCCATCTGGCGTAGTTGATTCCCGCCATCCTGATGCACAGCTATCGGTGCTAGTCTGCAAGAGCCGCGGTCGCTTGAATCACAAATCTTGGGCTGCAGAAGGCATGTGCAGCTCAATCCCGTGGGCTCTGGATTCAAGCCAGAATTTTCTAGCAGACGGCCTAACGAGGACAGCTGCGTTGCTTTTGGTCTTTATAGCTCGGCAAGTTGGCAGTGGTATAGCCATTCTGTGAAACTCATCTTGCGTGTGGCTCTCACTGCCTTCGGCTGGTTCAGGAACACTTCGGGCCCTGCAAGCAGGCCGTGCAGGAGGCTTATTGTGGCGCGGACGGTGCTTGACAGATGCTGGCCTGAAAGTCTGGCGTTGTCCGTGATGGTCGCGTGGTCGTGCAGGAGCGTGATGTTGAAGCACGAGTCCGGTGCCAGTCCTTGTCGTCGGAGGATGCTCTCTGCTTCCAGCTTAAGGTCGCCGCCACACACGTTGTCGAGCTCCTGGGTAAAGCTAGATGTGGTTCGTGCGTTATGGACACGCATGTGCGCAATCTTCGCGCCCGAGGGCGCAGCCTTCCAGCGAGCGACGCCCAGAAGTGCACCGCTCACGTACCGGAAGGCCACGACACACCCGGCTTCCCAGGTGAAGTGGCAGGTGAACACGAAGTGCGGCCACTCTGCCTGGCAGGCTGAGCCGCTGTGCTCTGGGCAATCAGGGGGAAACGTCACGATCAGTTTGCACAACCACGACTTTCTTCTTGCCCGGCCTCTGCCTGGCCGATGAGCGCCATGACTTCTTGAGCTCGAGGCTGTGGCAAACGACCTTCCTGCCTAGAAAGTCGCGTAGGGGCGCGGAGCTTTTTGCTTTTGGTGCTCTTGAGCACGAATTGGGCTGCCGTGCCACGCTACTGAGTGCAAGTGTGCTCTTTCACCGAAAAAAGCACGATAGAAGCGACGTTGCCTTGCAGTTGGTTCCGGGCTTTTTTTCTCGCTCACTCCCTGGCTGTCCCGTCCTCATCACTACCAGCTATTTAAATGGGCCGGGGGCTGTCTCGAATAAGGCAGGGGTCTTCTTGTCCAGGCCGTCCAGTGCAAGCCAGCCAAGATCCGATGCCATCCCGCACTTGTTCCACATGGTTTGCGAACCCGTAGACGAGCAGGCTGTCCACTTCATCTCCTTCGTTCCACAGTGTCAGTTGTACTTTGGCAGTGGTAGCGAATCAGCGAATGCAAGCATAAGGCAGACATGGAAATCCCGATTGCCCCGCAGCGTCCGTTGTACCTTGGCGTTCGAAGGGAATCACTGCAAGCATAAGGCACGCAAACCTCAGGCAAACATGTTCATGCCTAGGTGCAGTCCAGATGCGCCCGAAGCTGTATATACCTTGGCCGTGACATGCTGAGCATTCAGTTGCTGTTTGGGGACAATCCTCGCCTGCTCGGCCCGGTTGGTTGTATATATCTTGCCACTTGCAGAGAATGAATGCAAACAAGAGACAGAACTATCGCAGTTGCAATCGAGTTGCGATCGAAGCTGTACCTTGGCTCTGACATAATGGACGACAAGGTTGAACTTGACGACATGAACGTTTCGCCAGTGATGCTGGCAGCATGTTTTGCATCTGTAGGGGCTCTTCAATCGTAGATGGGTCTCCGGTCCTGGGCGGGCTCTCGCTGAAGTTGAAGGTGTTGGCTGAGGTCGATGGTGAAATATTGACATTATATGGTTTGGCCACAGGCCAACTTGAAGAGGAGCTGAGGGAAGACAGGGAGGGGAGAGTGGAAACGCATGTACTTGCAGCTTGGCGGCGGTCCTCAGTTGCTGGTTTTCTCAGTTGTACCTTGGCTCCGGCAGGGAATGGAAGCAGGCACAATGCAAGCACGACGCTCACTCACACGGACATGTTTAATTGCAGCCGAGTTGCGTCCAAAGCTTTACCTTGGCTGGGGCATGATGAACAAACATATGTTGAGGAAGTATGAGAGTGTGAAGGCCTTCGAAGGCACCCCCCAGTCTACTTAGCTAGGACTGGGATGGCCTTATTTTAGGTGCCTTA